GACAGGGGATGAGGAGGAAGCGTGGCCTATGGTCGGGATCGGGGGTAGGGGGGGAAGCAGGGCTGAACATGGCCGAGAGCCGCTGGGGGAGCAAACCCCGAAACAAGTCTACGCCTAGCAAGGAGCAAGCCTGAGAATAAAGCCTCTTCCCCGACTGAAGCTGCAGTGCTCCCTCTGCGCCTTACGTTTCTTTCCCTCCGCGCTTCCTCGAACGCGGATTGCTAGTTAGTAAAGAGGGGGTTTAGCTGAGCGTTCAAACGTAATTCTCGCTCCTCTCTTCCCTTCAAGGAGCTCTGCCTGTGTAACCAAGACATCGGAAGTACTTGTACGTGTGTGTATGGCAGAAGGAGCAACTGACCGGGGAGGACACGTGGAGCCGTGTGCGCCTCAGGGGAGAGAAAGCGTCAGCCGGGAGGAGTGGGTGCCTGTGCATGTGTAAATGCCTCACTACCTGCAATATTATTTTTTATATTAAGAACAACTTGTTGCAAACTAAACAGCTTTATGGTCGCTTAAAATGTTTTTCATCATTTTGATAATACCTTAGAGTCCAGTATTGCAATGCTTCACTGTCCAAGGAAACCCTCGCTACTGACCAAACGGAGAACAGAGAATACTGTCTGCCCCAATGAGCTTACAATATAAAGCGTGGGACAAGCAGCAGCAGATGGCTGAGGACAGATGAATGAGTCCCTACTTGGACACTGTGAGATAGTATCGGAGAACATAATAGGCAGTGAGCTCTGTCCACCAGCGAAGGAGTGACTCATTGAGTTAGTGAGTCATTCCCAAGGCAGCTGGATGTGAATCATTCCCTAGGTGGCCAGTCACCACTCCGTGCACCCTCAGTGCAGCCATACAGCTGGCAGAGAAGCATGTTCTCCAGTGCTGTGGTTTCACTCATTTTTATTAACTTTGTATAAGTTGTTACTATCATAAAAAGAAGGTTTTGTTTTCTCAACCTGGAGCTCCTGTTCTGCCCTTTATCATTTACTGTTTCTGCCTGCATGCTGCCTCCTTCTTTGTGGCAGTACAAGCACTTGCATGGCTGTGTAGTGAGCTGCATCAGGTTTGATGCTAACTACTTAGTTTTAATCATGGTTACTAGTTTTTAATTGTGATCGGCTTTTAACTTGGTTTCCCAAGCCAGTTCATGTCCCAGCTACATAAATGCTTGTGTTGGTATAAAAAAAGAGATTGTGCTTGGGCATGCACAAGGAATTATGGATGGGGAGTGCAGGACCACTTGCTTCAGTAGCCACAATGGATTGTATCAGCTTAAAGTGCTTATGAAACCACAGCTGAGAGTTCATGGACTCTGTTCAGTCATATTCCCCATTTATTTTTAAGACTGGTATTAAAAATCCTTGTTTCTGGATGCATAATACTAGTTCATAGTCCTGTCTTCTGTTATTTTAATGTTAGTCTCTGGTTTTCAGTCAGGTACTCAATCCTACTTTCTGTTCGTAAGTGATCTGTGTGACATTTCTCCTGCCAGATATGTCTTTTTCTTGTCTTGGATCTGTCTTGTATGGAGTCTCTGACTTCCTGATCTTTGACTATAGTGTGGTCTCACCACATGTCTTGGACCATGTGCACACAAACTCCAGCATTTCCTGGTCTGACTATGCTCTTGTCTGCCCACTTCAACTAGTGCTTTCTCTGACTTTTCAAATTCAGAACTTTAATGTCTTTTTACCTGCTACAACCCACTAGTCTTGAGTGGGCCTAACCCATTAGCTGTGGCTGTTGTCTCTTGGTTGTAAGGCACACCGATTGTCTATAAGACACTTCAGAGGAGGAGAAGATTCAGACAAATTAAGTCAATTCTTTTCTATTTCTGGGAAGCTTCTCAGTGTGAAGGACAACCTACAAAATGGTGTGAAGTACCTGTTTGAAAGTTTAACAAAGGACAAGGACAGCTCAGTATCACCAGCTGACATGAGGAGGGAAATGGTCTCAACGCTGAGTAAGATGAAGCGGTGAAAGAATTTGAAAACAATGACAAGTACTTTGTCTGATGTGATAGGAAGGTAGCAAGGTGATATAGTATATTTGAAGCCAGAGATTATGAGTATGAACACCTAAAAAGAGATTTATTTTAGCACTGAAGGCTGCAGGCCTTCCTTCATGAGAGGCTGGATTGCTGAGCAATCACAAAAAGCAGGTGGAGGAGGGAAAGGAGGGAAACACTGAAAGCTCCTTTTTGAACTTGACTGACAACTAGACATGAACAAAGTATTGTCTGGGAGAGAGGCTGAGGTTTCAGGAAGGACAGAAGGAGATTGTTGTGGGTTAGAGGGAGGTTCTGTGAGTCATCGTTGGGAAGATGGTCGTTGAATTCATGTTTACAACTGAGATTACCCAGAGATAAAGGGCAGAACAGGAGCTGAAGGGCTAGCAGGTTTGAAAATGTCCATTCAAAGGGGTTGTACTAATTTAACCAGAGGAGTTTTTAAACTGATTTAATAACATTAATCAGACATTTGAATCTGGAGGAAGGAAAGCTCAGGAAGACAGGAAGGCTCAGATATCATCATATGATTGTGAGACACAGGGCCAAAAATTGTTTATGATCTGGTTCCTTTGTAGTAATCTGCTGGCACAACAGGCAGTAACTGGCCAGGTACAGAATTTCCCTGTGCACAGGAGGAAATTCTATGTAGTAAAAAACTGTTGTAACAATGTCAACTCCATTTTGCATTTGTTTTATGTCAGGTGTGTAACCAAGCCCCACAGAGCAGGTCAGAGTTCCTGCATGCCAAAACAGAGCTTTGGGGCAGTCAGAAACGGGATGCAAGCCTGCATGGTACTGAAGCTGCTCCCTATTTTCATTGCTAAACCAGCTGCAGAACACAGAGCTCACAGAGTTAGCGTGAAGCAATCTTTGCTCTTACCCATATTCTTGAATAGGGCAAGCTTAGTGTCAACAAATAATGAAGCCCAGAAAGAAAGATGAAAAAGTATGAATGTTTTATTGTATGGAAAGGACAATGATGAATTCTGCATTCTTATCCAGTCTCTTTACACTTTCCCAGTAGCACAAAGGGGCTGTAGAGTTCTTGAAATTTCTCCCTAGGGAATACTCCTTGTGTAGAGGTTTCCTCACTTTGAACAGCTATTTTGAGCTGCTGCAATGATCCATAGGGGGCTGTGGCAGCAAAGCGGTTTAGAGCTGCCAACTTACATGAGAGGCATTGCCAAGAAAAATGAAGATTCAAGTGCGGAATAAAGCTGCCTTTACTAGCCCTCCACCCAACGGGCAGCAAAGAATCGTGCTCGTTCTTTGTGAAGGAGAACATTCATTGTTAATATTTATGTAAAGATTATGTTACACTAATTCTATGCAACCCTGGTATGTGACCATGAGAAGCAAAAAGTATAATGTGCTGTGAGGAGGAATACTTTTGCTGTCTTCTTCAATTGTTTTGATGGTTGCTACAAAAAGAACAGAAAAGCAAGATGCTACAGAGCCAGTGTAAGCACAGAGAATGCATGACTTTCAAGGCATTTTCCCCCCTTCTTTTAAAAACGAAAGCACTCATCCCTAATATTGCCAACATGGCCCTGCTCCTTCATTCCCATTCTGATTTACTTGCCCTGCTTCTCAGATTTCTGCTTATGGAGGTGACAGCAACCACAGCCAACTTCACAGTCAAGACAGTCAAAAGTCACAGAACAGAATTTCTCAGCAAATCTGGGCTGCTCTTCTACATGATAGAAATTCTAAATTGTGTCATTATAGTAACAAGCAGCAATGATCTTTCAGTAACTTCAGTTACTTTTAGCTCAAAATAGTGATTGCAAACACCTCATATGGTTATTTCCTACTGAATAAAAGAATTTATTGTCTACAGCCAGCTAATATACTTCTAAATTAAATCAGAAAGTAAATAAAAAGAATTGTCCTTCTGTGAAATCCTTTTCAGGATACCATTATGGTTTCCTCTGCAGTTTGTTTAGTTTTGACTGATAGTTCTAAGTGTAGTACTTCCATGCAGTTTATCTCCTGACAAATGACAATTGATGACCAAAAAAAAAAAAAAAAAAAAGGAAGTTTTGACCATTAAGTAAATCCTGAAAAATTATGTATACATCAAATTGTAATAGGAGAAGTAGCATACATTTAATACTTGGACAGTGTATATTATGTCTTGTTAAAAACATGAAATTACTGAAGCTTCTCAAACTTTAGCTTACAAATCCAGCATCAAATATTTGGCAAATAGAATAAGTACTCAATTATATTTGGAAACAGTGAAGGAAATAAAAAGGCTAGGAATGTAAATTTTGGTAATTGCTACTAATTTGCATGTTCTGCAGGCCTAGATGTCACCACTGCTGGAATTCACCACCTTTTTGGCGATAGGTGTGAAATTTGCTTCTCTTTGTTCACCTGGCAGTAGACCCATGAGCTCACATGCTAGTTCCTTTCAGGAATGGGGTGGAGAAGATGTGGTCACCTGAACAGACTGCACTCATTTTCTTGAGTTCTGCTCTACCTTTGTTCTGAACGATGCTTTTCCACACACGCCTGCCATTATCTAAACTGTCTTTGCTCCCATGATCAGTCATCATACTCGTTAAAAACAGAGGCAGAGTACTTGTTTCAGATCAATAGCAAAGTGCAATTTATCTTTTGCCAATATTATCTTCTACTTCTCCCCATTTCATATTCTATAGCAATACACTCATTTCTTTATTGTCTTTTGTTTATGGGGATGAAGAATCTTTTTTTGTTGTTTGTTTTTCATATCTTTTTGGAAGTCTAACTCAGCTTGACTTTTGGCAATT